TTTTTTTTTTTTTTTTTTTTTTTTTTTTTTTTTTTTTGGCCATGGCTCGTTACTGAAGCCTTTGACTGCAGAGGTGGCTGTCCAGAAAGAAGAAAGGCCGCGAGGGGCTGCGGAGGAAGAAAACCCAGCGGGACACCTGCTGCCCTGCCATCCTCTGGGCAGCCGAAAAAAGGAAGCACACCTGAGGGAAGGGTGAGAATGGGAGGGCGGAGGGGCTCTTTCCTTTGCTGAACCCGGCCAGCCCACGCGGGGGAGGGGCAGCTCCGCCGCCTCCGCGAAGGTAGCTCTCAGATCTTTCTTAATAGCACCCCGCCTCCTCCCGCTTCACCCCAGCCTTGTTTTAGGGAGCTCCTGAACCCGGCCTGGGTCTGGGTTCGCGTGGCCCTGCCCTAAGCCTTCCTGTGCCCGGTGCCCGTCTCTTCTTTAATAATCCGCCCAGTCATCCTCCTTTTTAAAATTCTCTTTCCAGCATTTTGCTGGCAAAGCCCACGTGACGTTTCCTCTGTGTGTCCAAGAAGCAAAGACTTTTTTAAAAAGCAACTTCAGAAAACTGGTTTAGGGGGAAAAAAAAAAAAATCTCGACTTTTCCTTTCCCTCACCATACATGTTTCTGCCTTAGGGTGGTTTGTAGTCCTGTTATTATTTCTGTAGGAGGAGGCTTTTGAGTCCTGGGACACACTTGTGAATTTATTTCCTTTTACGCGTATTCTTCATGAATGTGAAACTGGTTGAGGGCTGTCAACAAAACGTGCTCCTAGGAAATAAAAATAAATAAACAAATAAAAGAAGAGTTTTAAAGGATTAAAAAACAAATATAGAAGTATGTCGATGATGAATCTCTCTAAACAGAATTCCTACCTCTTTGGTTGTCCCTAATACCTCTGTAACCCTTCTAAAAAGCCATCTGAGAGGGCTGGCTCCATGTTTTTGCTATTGTGAATAATGCAATAAACGTGTATGCAGGTGAAAAAAAAAACTGAGGTCATTTAGTTAAAAAGTAAAAATATTATGTTCATATACCATAAAACTCATTAGGTATAACTCTTTTAGAATCATTGAAAATATTTTACTTCACCAGTGCCAATAGTGCCCAAAAGCTTCAGACAGATAGGACCTAGTAACTGGTGACTTTCCATTTCACTTTTCTAAAACTCTTTGGCACAGTAGGAAGTTCTGTGTTGGCATTTGTTTTGAAAACCTCAACTTTAGGCTGACATTCTTCCTTGGTAAGGCCCATAAAAAGCCTCAGTCCAGGGGTCAGGAAAGCCAAGTTCTCCTGCCGCCAATGAGCTGTGCTAATGCTCTTAGATCAGAACAGCAGTCTTAGATCCATCCATCTTACCACCAAGTAGATACAGCAGTGTTATCAAAGTTGGCCTCAGTATGTCAATGCAGGAAATAAACACACCACACGTAGGATACCTATTGCATGACAGGCACTTGCTGTCTGTTAATTAGTAATGGCAAAGTCTCCTTGAGATGGCTATTATTATTCCAAATGAACAGCTGAGGCCCTGGGAAGTTAAGCAATTTGCCAAGTCACACAGCTACATCAAACCTAAGCTTTATCGGTTTCCAGACTGAGGGCTCTACTCATTCCACATACTACAGCCAGTGGCATTTGCTGCTTCCTTCTCTCTCTGCCGAATTTGAAAATTGAATGCTGCAGTCTGCAGAGTCTAGTGCGAGTGTAATAAACCTCCCTTGTTTAGGGGACACTGATATGAACTGATCTGTTCCATGAGGAAACTGGTAATGGCAGGTTCCACCTGGGTAACTGGTGGTGGCAATAAGCTGTATGGTTACACACTTGTATATCCCAGTGGAAGATAAAATGGGTGCTACTAGTGGAACATGACATGTAACTGGTATAACTCTTTAGACACAAATCTAAACATCAATTTACATTTTTTAAAGAATTGATAAGCTAAAATACAACTCAGCTGTTTTGAACTCTTGATAATAACCACACCGTGACTTCCACTTTTTTTCTAATTAAAAAGTCTTCGTTTTCTTCTCTTGTAAATGGGTACTCTTTGAAAAATTGACCTTAAAAATTGCATTGAAGGAATGATGTAATGGACCTTGGAGACTCAAAAGGGGGAGGGTAGGAAGGAGTAGAGGGACGAAAAATCACCTACTGGGTACAATGAGCACAGGCCGGGGTGGTGGGTGCACTTAAAACCCAGACATCTTCGCCACTGTACAATGCAACCACATATCCAAAAGCTATGTGTACCTCCTAAAGCTATTGAAATAAAGAAAAAAAATTGCCCCAAAGAATAAGAGGAAAAAAGATGCTGGAACCGAGCACCTTATTATTGGAGTTTGATCATACTTTTCCATTAGTTTTTAACTTTTTTCGAAGAAACACAAATACAATCAACAGGAATGTCTGGTTTGTTGAAGCCACAAATATTTTTTCCTCTCTGTTTCTTGGAATCAGTTTATCTCTTTGTATGTTTTGCTCATCACAGGAGTCATACATGAATCTTCTCCCTCTCTTGGGAAATATGTTTGAGAGAAAACTTTCCCCATTTTAATATCAAGTATGTCTAATTTTACAGCACCACATGTTGAAGGGATGCATTGCAAAGTGTGCTGTGTGGCTATATAAAATTTAGATTGCAGCAGGAACGGGAATGTCATTTGAATAGATTAAAGATAGAAAGATGTTTATATTCAGAACACGTGCAGTATTAGAAATGACAGGAACCTACTGCGGTCCAAGCAGAAATAATGCTTACTCCATGGAACTAGCCAAAGTTTTGC